TCCTCGAGAGCCTGACGAAGCTGATCTTCGGTATATTGAGGCATTATATATAGAAGAAGACATGTGCAAAAGATGAGCCCATTTGGACGCGAATTGAAAATGTTGTGATAAAAGGAGGTTGGGGGTGGGCATTGGGTTGTGGTGGATTTTCGCGTTTTTGTGGGTGCCAGAAACAGGGGGGTGCCAGGAAGTGGGTATGTTGACTTACGGCTTTCCCAAAGTCTTTGGCAAGGCCGATATTCAGACGACAAACGGTACCCGGCTGGTTCTGGCAAATGCGCAGAGGCCGGCAGGACGAACTCTTTTCGAGTGCGAATTTATCCCCGATCATCGTATTCCCAGTTTGCGTGCCGCAGACAAATGGGGGCTCAATCTTCGTAGTATTCCACAGCCGTGTGTGGGAACATCACCGGCGATTCAAGAGCTGATTCCCACGATCATGGACTGGAAATTTCGCGAGATCTGGGCTGGCCATGGTCAGATTACTTTTCCGCGCCGCTCTGCATTTGATCCTTGGTGCGGTTTGGATATTCTACAATACGAAGGAAGCTTCCTTGCACGGAGTCTGACTGGCGAGCTTCGGTGTCGTGGTGAGAGTTCCAAGGTTTAAAGGTTTGGAGGATCAGGTCGGGGCCAAGTGCTTGAGTTCTTCAAGTAGACTTTCGACTAGTAGGTAAAGGTCTCGGATCGCATGATACTTCAATTTGAAGCATGAGCATCAGTCTTAGCATCTGAATTTCACACCTCGCATATTCGCGGTCGCCCGGATTTGGTGGATCCTATCGTGATGAGAGTGAATCCAACTATGAAGCTCTAGAACCTCTCCGAATGAATAGTTCGAAACAAAAGAATCGGATGGAAGAGAGAGCCGATGTCGGTCGACAAAGCGATTGCTTCAAGCGAGATGCTACGATAGCTATGACCCATAACGGAGGAGTTGGTAGCTAAGTGGGTTCGTGAATGATTGGCTGTGTCATGAAGTTGAAATCGAATTTCGTCGTCCGATTATTTCTTTCAAAGACCTTCTCATCAATACCCAAAGTTGAATTTCTATGGTCGCTTCGTATGGCTATCTGAAGGTAGATTATCTATACCGTTCGAACTCGACACTTGCGCAGTCATTGACAATGTCAGACCATGTAGACCTGTGGATATTTTTCGGGAGTTCTATCAAGTCAACCGGAGCGAGGGGTGAAATTAGGTGTGGTCCTTGCGGATTGTCAGGCCCCTCACGATGGGATGCAACGCCAGAGAAATTGCGATCGCATATGATCAAGGATCTCCGTCTTGTAAAGTTCCCAGCACGTATCGATAAGGGGACACCGTTTGCATTTCGGACCCAGAAAGCAACCAGGGGTCTAGTGGACGTAATCCGAGCCTCCAGGTATTAGTCGTATCCGCAGTCTAAGGTCCGCAGGGTTGGTCCAACACACTTCGTGAACAACAACTTCCTTCGCACAAGGATTACTTCAGGCCTCGCCACACTGGCGCATTTTCATACCGGGTGTGATGCTTCTTCAGTTTTCTTACCAGGCCACACAGCATTTGTCCCTCGACCAATGAAACTACCTGGTCTCGGACCACATTTCCGAATGGGTAAAAAGATGCAGAAGCGAACGAAGTGAAGAATCCTTCTTGTATCCATTAGCCGGCATGGGGTTACAATCAGGAACATTATGGCGTTTGAAGAGCCGAGATTTCCAACAGCTCAAGAGGCACGCTTTGCGGGACATGGACCTTCTGCTGTAATGCGCGATTAACATTTGTGCCAACATGCCAAATCATTGGCACGATAATCAGAAGAGACAGATCACCAAGTATAAAATTGCTGTTTATGGAGAGCTAGAGTACATGACCGTAGTTACAGTGGTCTTCTTGATACCCCGCCCATCGGTCAAGCTGTCCCGCAGCCCGATCTTGTCCTCACTCGTATCACTGTCATCGCCCCCGGTCCCAGCCGCGACGGTCGTGGTTCCCACAGGCCGAGTGGCGTATGTCTCCAACTCGTAATCGTTCCCCGTTCTGTCCATGTGGTTCCTGGGAAACTTCTCGCCTCTCTCCTCGCCAGGCTTGACTGGCCATTGGGTGTTTGACAGAGTCTGCCAGTTACTGCCGCTACGCAGCGTACCACGGCCATAGTATGCTCCTGCTGTGGGCGCCTTGGACCCCTTGCCGTAGATACTACCCAGAAAGTCCTTGAAGAGGGGTCGTAGAGTTGGCAGACTTCCAGCTATGATTCCGACATTAGCCTCGATGACGGTCCACATCTGGATATCTCGCGAGTCCCAGGTTGGATCGAAGGCCCTCCCATAACTTGTGACGATGTAGTAGACTTTAGCGCAAGCTGCTGCACATGCAAAGACTCCCAGACCGAGGACCATCATGAGAGATATTCGAACCCTTCGCGGGACGTTGAGCCCCCAAAGCATGGGCGCCGGAATAGCGATTCCAAAGAGAAGGTCGGTGAGGATGTTAATCGACGAATTTGCATAGGAGAGGCCCTTGATCGTATCGACATCCCAGCAGGTTGCCTTAACGTTGAAGTCCCAGAATGCGCGTACATCCGTGCACTGGAAAATAATGGTCTGTGACAGATACGTTTTGTTAGCAATAGGATCTTCGACCGTCCTCTGAAGGTACGCGATGGTTACTAACGAATACACAGGCAATCGAGTAAGCGGTCATGAAGACCATGACCCCAGTGATGAGGTTCTTGTAAAGCTTTTTGGAGGCGATTCGATGTAGCGACGACCCAACAGCAAGCTTGACTAAACAGATAGCAGCCAGGAAAAGGGGCTGAGAGACGAAGGCCATTTGCATCGCTTCCGGGTAGTTTTTGACGAAATCAATGTCTCCTACATGGCGGCCAACTCCGTGAATGACCTGCACGATCAGGACTCCTTGACCAGCAATCGCGATGACCATCGCGGATGTCATGAACCCGTCCTTTGAGATCATTGTCAGCGTATCAAGGCTAATGCCTACTTTCTATTGGAAGGGATATCACGTAAACCCAAAACTTGCAAACTTACATCGAATCCGAAGCTGTGAATCATGCCAAGGCGCACCCAAAGGCGAGCTGCCACGACAATCAATGCCACCGAAGTGACAGTTAGTGTTGCGGCCAACACCGTGGGTCCCTCATTCTCCTCCGGGTTCGAGACGAACTCCATTCTCTGATGAAAGATGATGAATTTTTGGCATCAGATGACTGAGAAAGATGTAAAGATTCGGTTTGGTTTGGAAAGGAGAGCATTGATAACATCAGCCACTTTAGGCGCGCCATGTCTTCTGTTTTCCGGCCACACACCATAAAGTCATAGAAGGCACGAGTCTATTCCTCGAATTATCCCAATTAGGCTGACAGCAGGCTCTCGGTGCCTTCTTGGCATTCCGCCTCCAGCCTCAGACTGGAAACCAGACTCTGGCTGATTGAAATGAAGCTGCAAGGGTTCGCAAACCCTCATCGGCCCATCTCTTCGCAGCAGTTGCCTTTTCAGTAAGGTCTATGGCATCGACTATTTTTGCGATAGAAAGTACGAATACAAAAAGTCCTTCACCCGGGCTCCCAGTCATGTCAGTTCTGCATCGGAGTGTCTGCGCCGCACCCTTTTCTTCAGATGGTTGGTGGCTTTACAACTTGGCGAAAGGGAGGAAAATGCTGTGATGCTGGGATTAATAAACGGGGGTTTGAAATTCTGCAGGATGGTATGACGGTGCCCCTGGCTGCGAGTTGGTTGTTGGGACTAGAATATGCATAAAGTCAGAATCTTTTCGCCTCCATGGCCCTTCTCCGCCTGTTCTGGGATCAGCGCAAGCCTTAAGTCGTTGTTGCTAGAGCCGTGGGATAAATCTGCACAGCATCGGGTTCAAGGCTGCATCAGGTAAAGAGTCTTACATGGGAATCTAAAACCAACACACCAACTGGCCCGGACCGTGGGCCGTTTCTGCAACCCCGGCTTCAACCTGCATGATGAAGTCGGGTAATCCGCCGTCTTTCCCGCTGTTCCGGCCTTGGAAGCCAAGATTCGCCAAACGGCCGACGGATTTTCTTCCCCGTAAAGTGGAACCAATTGCATGTTGGAACAACACATTGCTCGCGACTGAGAGATATTTCGCAGAATTCTTATTTGGGAGGTGTTTACTTGGGCCGGGTTGGTGGCGATGCAAATTGGATCCTTCTACGCGACATGATCCACCATAGAATCCCTGAATATCACGTACGGAGAGAGCACCAACAACGAAGTAGTAGGGCCTCGGTCGACTTCTTATCTTGTCACTGATGTGATTCAGTCTCTTCTGATCGGATGTAGGTCGGCGGGAGGGTTATATATCTGCCACACGGCTGGCGCTTCTCCTGCAGAAGTTCTCTCCCGCACTCAGAAAGTACTCAAGCTCTGAGCCACTCGTTCTTGCGGCCTTGTTTCCTTGTCCCACACAGCCGGCCTCATCATGCACGTTCTCTCACTTGGTGTTTTCGCCCTTCAGGCGGCTTCCGCTGTTCTCGGCAACCCACTCCCTCAGACTGATGACGGGGCCGCTGCTGCTGCCGAGAATGTCGATCAGCTCGCGGCTCTCGCTCAGGCTGCCTACCAGAAGTCGGAAGAGATGATCCAAAGTGGAGAAATCCAGAAGCGTGGAAGCTCCTGCTCTCTTGGAAACATCAAAATCCGCAAAGAATGGTAAGCTTTGTCCTGGCCATGCTCGCCTTGTAATCTGAACTGCATTTAACATGAGCCTAGGGGTTCGTTACAAAGACAAGAAAAGCTCGACTACATCAAGGCCGTACAATGCCTTCAGTCAAAGCCTGCCCTGACCCCTTCCGACATTGTTCCTGGTGCAAAGACTCGGTTCGATGACTTCGTTGCCACACACATTAACCAGACTTTCACCATCCACTACACCGGCACGTTTCTGTCCTGGCACAGACGTTTCACTTGGTTGTACGAGGAGGCGCTTAGAGAGGAATGTGGCTACAAGGGCACTCAACCTGTAAGTTGCCGGTACAAACCCATGATAGCCATCGGCTAATCAGCATGACAGTATTGGGACTGGGCAAAGACCGCCGTAACTGGTGTCGATAGCTCTCCCATTTTCGACGGCACCGAGACATCAATGTCTGGTAATGGGGAGTTCATCCCTGATCAGGAAGACATCATCCTTACCAACCCTGACGGTTCGGAAGCCGCTCGCCTTCCAACCGGAACTGGAGGTGGCTGCATTACATCCGGTCCTTTCAAGAATATGTCTGTAAACCTTGGCCCTTTGGCTCTCTCTCTTCCGGGCGGAGGCAGTGAAACAAACCCGGACGGATTCTTTGCCTATAACCCCCGCTGCCTGAAGCGCGACTTGACTACGGCTATCAACCGAAGGTACTCGAACGCCTCCGCAATCCTGCACAACATCCTGGTTCCTCAGAACGTAGGCAAGTTCCAAGTTGAGATGCAGGGAGATCCCGAGTCGGGTACCATGGGCATGGGCATCCACGGAGGTGGTCATTTCGTAAGTGGCTCCGTTCCCTCTGTTAGTCATGTCACAACGCGAAGCTAACATTCGTCAGACTCTTGGAGGTGACCCTGGAAGAGACTTTTTCGTATCGCCCGGTGATCC